ACGGTTTCTGAGGCATGATAAAAGAGGAAGTTGAAATTTCTTGACTGTTTTTTGCCAGCCGCGAGCCAAAGATTTCAAATTTAGCTTCTGCTTGTGCCTGAATATTATGTGCAAACAGATCAGAGATGCAAGCTATGTTTCGAGTTGAGCCTTCACATACATTCCCACTCCCCCTCACCTCTACCTCGTGTTCTTCTATAAGCAGGAAAAACCAGGAAAAAGTGCTTATCCACAAGTCAAATTGTTAAGCAACTGTCATATTGTTGACAATCTAATTACTCCAAGAAATCGTGTAAAAACGCATGGCCGCGTTGACAGTCCTAGCGTGCATCGTAATGACTGCATTTAGCAAAAGGCACAAACCGCAAAAATGTTTTTTTTTAAAATAAATTTGTATGATACGTAGTCGGGAAGGCCAGAAGGAAGATGAGGAGTGAGAAAAGGAAGACAAATATCGACGAATTCTTGGAATATGCAAACGCATCGTACAACGAAAAAAACCAAAAGCATAAAAAAGGAAATGTAAAGGATCGTGTTTGCCGCGATTGCAGCTAGCTCGGACATAAGTAATATCAAAGCAGTTTAAAAAGTAAAAAAAAAAATTGCGTGAAAAATACCGTTTCCTTACTTTTTGTTCCAATTATCAGCGCCCCTTCTTCACGACCGAATTGCCCGAAGCGTATCCAGCTAATCGGCTGATCAACTTTCTGCCGATCCACGAGATTTGTTTCACAATAAATTCTTACCTGAAAATTAACCTTTTGTTTTCCTTGAATCAAGCAGTCTGGGTGCCTCGCGTGAAACGAAACCGCTGAATTTTGACCTGATTTATTTAAGACCTTACAAATCGGGTAAGACTTTTTTCCTCTTTTATATGCCTAACTGGCTTTTTGTAAAAACTCTACTGCGTCACAACGATGAAAATGCTCAGAAAATCTCTTTAAAGTTGCTTTTGTAGCAATTTTAATTCGATTCTCAAATAAAACCACATTTTTTCCAAAATCATACTGGACTCTTAATCCCTTTTTTGGTACCCCATTGAAATGGATCTACAGAAAATTGGATTTAGCTTTAGTCAAAGTGAAAAAAAGTACTTCTTTCTCAAGTGCCACGAGCAAAGCAACGTATTGTTTTGGTTCGTAAGTGAAGGTATCGATACCCTGGATTGGCTCGCTAAGTTGCATTTTGTTTTGACGTTTACCTTTTGCTGTGAAGAATGTAATCGTCTGATCGGCACATGCAACAGCCAGCTAAAATTATGTGCCATTTAATTAGCATTCAGGCCCTCTTTGGAAATTGAGTTTATTGCCCGGAAAAAATTATAGGCGTGCAGCCTGGTTCGGTGAGCATATAGTGGAAAAAAGCATTCCAAAACAGAAAAAGACTAGTGAGGCCATGTTTTGCATTCATCTCTTCCTCATTTCTTCGTTTGTTTTTCTTCGATAAATATTAAACAAAACGAGTGCGTGGCTCTGGCATTT